AAATATGATTGGTAATTTTTAAAATATGAAAAAGGGATTGCAGTGTTTTATGTGGAGACAAGTGGTTTCAAGTTGGGAAATCATCATACGTAAACAATAATGTACATGATATAAAATGTTGAAAAAAAAAATTCCAAAATGATGCATGTTAATATTGAAGGAAGGTTGTTGTGGGCAGTAGAAATAGGTGGGGCAGATGCAGAAACCTGAAAGCCTAATAAAACTCTAAAAAAGAAAGGGCATCAGAAACAGAGTACAAAGGGCAGTGTGGACACAGGGTAAAAGGAGAATGCCCAATGCAAAGGGTCTTGTCTTATCACCCCAACATGCATCCTCCAAATCTCTGAAAAACCTGATCCCTCCTTCAGTAATCATAACATAAAACAAACCATACCATACAGAAAAATCCACTCATCATTTCCCCCCTTCTCCCTCATCCCGGCCCGGCCCCCAACTCCCCCCCTCCATTGTGTTTTTCTTGCTTTCTCCCCGTCCCCTTTGCCTCTGCTTCTGGGGGACTTTCCCCCCTCATTTCCTTCGCCGGGTTTCTCTCCTCAGTTCTCCCCACCTAGTTTCTCTCTCTTCATCATCTTTATATGCATTTCCCCCCATTTCTTCTCCGGCGAACAAACCGCCAAAAAAGAAGACAAATCTGCATGATCCACCCCTAAGGCTAAAACAAAAAGGGCGCTTTTCCTTGCCTTTACAAGTTTAGCCCTTTTTTTTTCTCCTTTCCCTTCCTTTTCCATTTCCCCTTCAAGTTTGAAGAAAAGGAAAGGGAAAAAAAAATTCTAAAGTTTGCCCCAAGATATTCCTTCATCATACCTTTAGTTTTACTTTATTAAACTCCCTAGACAAAAAGAATAAGAGGTAAAATTCTTCATCCCAAGATCTCTCTTGAAAGTCAGAGTCAGACCCATATCATTCCTTTCTTTACTAAAAACATTTTCTTTTGTTCATTTTCTTCCATTTGCTTATGGTTTTTATTTTTTATTTAATATAGATTTCCTGTGTTGTTGAGTGAGTTCAGTGTTCATCCCAAGATTCATTTATAAAAAAAGAAACTTAATCTCAATCCCAACCTAAAAATGAAGAATAGGTGGCTAGCTACTCGTAGTACTAGTAGCATTATTTGTATGAAATTCAAGCAAGATCTGCTCCCCAAAAGCTTTTCCCATCGAAATTAGAAAAATACAACTCCTCTTCTCGAGATCCAATCCCACCATACATAGCCCCGGGAAAATCAATTCAAAGTTCAAGCCCCTTTCCCCCAGTTTCCCTTCACTTTTCCCTTCTCCCAAACAGCCAGAAGGTAAAAGCTAAATCGCTTTTCTTTTTCTGTTTCCTCCATGGAAAGAGAGGGAAATGGGTTCGTTTTGCTTTTAATTATCTCCATTCAATATTCATAAAAATACGTAGCTTTCCTTCATCAGCTTAGATCTGCTAAGACCCAACAACCCAAACAGCAGAAAGGTGTATTTTTTTCTGTTTGTTTCCTGAGAAAGGAGAAACCCATTTCAGAGAAACACCAAATCGGAGAAAATCAGTAATTAAAGGCCGGGGATATATATACTGCAAGGGTAATCTTTCCAGTTTCAACACAGAAATTCATAAAGCCGTCGACTTTCCATTTTTGATTTTCTCCTATATATTCTACTAGCTAGCTAGGGTTTTTCTCTTCTCTTTCCTTCAATCTATATATGTATATAGTATACTATAATTTTTTTAATTTAATTTAAATTAAATTTCATCCTCTAACCCTAACCTTCGCCTTGTAGCAGCACTTATTTTTTTGTTTTTCATTCGTTTTCAATCTTCCCAAATAGAAAATCCTTAAACTTTCCAAAATAATTAGCTTTATAATTGTTCATCTCACTCTATTTATATGGTATTCACAAGATTTACTTTATTTTTATGTGATTCAGAGCGACAAAGTGCTGAATCATATTTATATATCTAATTAAAAAATGTATATATATCATGATATTTTTTTAAAAAAAAAATTTGTTTGCGAATCGAAACAACAGAAGGTGTTGATTGTTCGTTTTTGACATTCTGATATATATATTTTAGGATAATTGCTATATTTTTTGCTTTTCTTTGGCAGAAAAGGAGGTGGAAAATGGCGTCTTCATCAAATTCTCCATGCGCAGCGTGCAAGTTCCTGAGACGGAAATGTCAGCCGGAGTGTGTCTTTGCGCCGTATTTTCCACCGGACCAGCCGCAGAAGTTCGCCAACGTCCACAAGGTATTCGGCGCCAGCAACGTCACCAAGCTACTTAACGAGCTGCACCCTTCCCAGCGTGAGGACGCCGTGAATTCCCTGGCCTACGAGGCAGACATGCGCCTCCGTGACCCCGTCTACGGCTGCGTGGGCGTCATTTCCCTCCTCCAGCACCAGCTCCGCCAATTGCAGATGGATCTGAGTTGTGCCAAGTCCGAACTCTCCAAATACCAGAGCCTCGGGATCACAGGCCACGCGGGCCTCATAGCGGCCGCAGCTGCTGCAGCCACTGCTACAACTACTCACACGAATGCGCACCACCACCAGAGCTTGGGCATCAACCTCATAGGGAGCGGTGGCGGTGGAGGGCGAGAACATCATCACTACCACCACCAGTTCTTCCCTAGGGATCACCCGCAGCAGATGATCAGCAACAACTACGATGCCAGTCTCCTTGCCATGAGCAACATCTCCACGGGGATCGGACAACTGAGTCAGTTCCAGCAACCTAGGGCTGCCGCAGGAGATGACCGTCGTACAATTGATCCCTCTTAGGGTTAGGGTTTATCAATTGTCAAATTGCCACAGGTACTTTTAATTTTCATCCTCATTGACATCTATGGTTCTATATAAGTAACCACTGTAAGCATGCATATTACTTTTGTGAGATTCTCTATATATATCTCCGATTGAGTCGGGCAATATCTATGGACGGGCATGTATGAATTATTATAATGAAGAAGATGAACCACATAAATTAGGGTTTGTGTGATTTTTTTTTAGTCTGATGATAAGTTATATAATATAGTCTTCTTATATCTTCCTAATCTCGTCTCCACTTATTTTAAAATTTGACCTTAAAACTTTGGATGTAGATACTCCAGCCCACGGTTTGGATATTTTTTCTCTAAATATTTGAATATTTAGGGTTTCATAATATTCTCTTTTTTTTCCTTTTCTTGTATATTTTTTTTAAATCTGAAAATCATTGCGTTCAAATTTATTAATTAAACCTAGTTTATTTGTTTGGTATATAATTGTATTTTTTTGGTTAAAAAATGCTTTCTTTTTTTTCTTTTTTTTTTTCTTAATAGAACATTCCTCCATTAACACTAAAAGAATTTGATAAATTCATGAGAAATCTATTTACATAATAGGTATTTTTTTAATGACAAATTGAAAATGATGATTGGTCAAAAAGAGATGGTAACCATGCTAATGAAGTAGGGGTTCCCTCGTGTGATCACAGCTAAATTTAGGGTTCAATTAAAAAAAAAAAAAAGGCAATCAGACACAATTCCCAAGTTTGACCAAAACGCCACCAACAACTTGAAGTCTCTCAGTCACTGCAGCGCCACCGGATTGCCTCATATCACGAACCAATCTCCTTTTTCTTCCAATATTTAATTTCTATTTATTT